TAAGAGTTCCATTGAGAAAAGCATTCTTGACATCAAGTTGTCGAAGAGGCCATTTATTTGTGACTGCAATAGAAAGCACAACACGGACAGTGGTAGCTTTGACAACCGGACTGAAAGTGTCAGTGTAGTCAAGACCAGGAACCTGAGTATAACCTTTGGCAACAAGACGAGCCTTGAAACGCTCGACAGATCCATCAGGCAAATATTTAATACGAAACACCCATTTAGAGCCCACGATGTTGGTGTTAGCAGGGCGAGGAACCAAAGTCCAAGTATCATTTTGTTGTAATGCTTGAATTTCTTCATCCATGGCAGCCACCCAAGCAGGATTCTTAGCCGCAGATTTGAATCCTTTTGGCTCAGTGGATGCAAGAAGAGCAGAAAGAAGTCCAGATGAGCCCAAAATACCAAGATTTGCTGGATGACGAGTCTTGAATATACCAGCTTTGGCTCGTGTGATCATAGGATGAGTGCCCAAAGAAGAGAAATCAACAGGAGGTTCAATAGAGGTCGAATTAGAAGTCGAAGGTGGCAAAGTGGAACCTGCAAGAGAAGTATCAACCTGCACAGACTCATCTACAAGGTCAGAACAAATATCACACGGGGATGAACTGGATCGAGGAGTTTGCGGTGATGAAGTGGTAGGGGGGGATGAATCAATATGATGAAAATGTGGTTCTAAGAAATTTGAAATAGGAATAGAGGAAAGAGGTTGGGTCTGGGAGCTAGGGATAGCAGGAAAGTGGGTTTCATCAAATTGAGCATGACAGGTGATATATAGCTTAGTGGTGGCCGGATCAAGACAGCGAAACCCTTTATGAGCAGGACTATAACCCAAAAAAATACAAGGAATGCTGCGGGGAGAAAGCTTGTTAGGCATATAATCACGCAAATAAGGATAAACACGACAACCAAAGGGATGAAAATTGTCATAATGTGGAGTGTAGCCATAAAGGAGTTCAAAGGGTGACTTACCTCCAAGAAGTGGAGTAGGCAACCGGTTGATAATATAAGCTGCAGTGCTGAAGGCGTCAACCCAAAAACGAGAAGAAAGATGAGAGTGAAAGAGAAGGGCCAAGCCAGTCTCAGTCACATGACGATGTTTTCTCTCAGCACGACCATTTTGAGCAGGTGTATATGGACAAGAGAGTTGATGGTGGATGCCAGAATTACGTAAATGAGTTTTGAAACAAGTATTAGTAAATTCGGTACCACCATCACTTTGAAATACCTTGATACGAGAAGAATATTGATTTTCCACAAATTTTTGAAATTGAAGAAAAATATCAAAAAAATCAGATTTAAATTTTAAAGGGTAAAACCAAGTGAATCGAGAATAATCATCAATAAAAATAACATAATAAAGGAAACCCGAATTTGATTTGACGGGAGAAGGACCCCAAAGATCACAATGAATAAGATCTAACACATGAGACGACCTACGTTCATTGCGGGAATAAGGCAATCGATGACTTTTTGCAAGCTGACAGGTATTACATAATGATGGAGAAGGCAATAAAGACGTAAGAGAAAGATGACCTTTTCTATTTAAAAAAGAAATAACAGAATGATTCACATGACCTAGACGAGCATGCCATAAATCATATGAAGCACGTAAAGATTTGTTTCTAAGGGCTGAAATAAAAGCAGAGTTGCCGCGCTCCAGCACATATAGCCCTCCATCTCTTTTACCGGTTGCCACCACCCTTCCTGTTTGACGATTCTGGATAGTAATAAGATTATTAGTAAATGTAACGGAGAGAGGAAAATCAGACGTTAATTTACTTATGGAAAGAAGATTTTTAGTGAGGTGAGGGACAACCAAGACATCTAACAAGTGAATATTTGGAACAGGTGAAAGAGTACCGGTGTGGGTAATGGGTAGGGAAGCACCGTTTCCTACAATCACAGAGTCCTTACCCGTGTAATTTTTAGACTGATCCAAAATAGATGGGTCGGCAGTCATATGGGCCGAAGCTCCAGTGTCCAGAAACCAATCAGCAGTATCGGGTCCAGCAATAGAACATGACGTGTTAAAGGCTTCAGCAAGGTGAGCATGAGAAGAATCAGGTCGAACATACCGTTGGTTGCAGCGGTCAGCATAATGGCCCTCTTTGCGGCATATTTGGCAGTGAGGTGGTCGACGACCTTGACTTGAGTGGGTTCGTCCTCGATTAGAAGAGTTATTTTTGTGAGAATAAGAACGACCTCGCTGGTTGGTAAAGGAAGCAGGGTGGCTTCCATGGGTGCGACCACGATTAGTGACTGTGAATGCTGTAGGAGTGGAGTTAGAGGACTCAAGGGAGAGCTGAAACAACTCAAAACTTTCAGCTTTAGAGACTAAATCTGCAAAACAGGGGATAGAGGTAAGAGCCATCTGAGCAGTAGAAAAAGCTGAAAATTCGGTGCCGAGTCCACGAAGGAACCAGTGCACTTTATCAATGTCCTCGACCGGTCTGCCAATGGCATGAAGTTGGTCACAAATTTTTTTGAAGGCACGGGCATACTCAGCAACAGGTTTGGTGCCACGTTTCATCAACTGCAAGTCATCCTTGAGTCTCAGTTCACGAGCTTTCGACTGATGGCTGAACGTAGTTTCCAACGCAAGCCAAACATCACGTGCAGTAGGGAGACCAACGACAACAGCCATGGCTTCCTCAGTGAGAGAGGAGAGCAGGAGACAGAGAAGTCGTTGATCGGCTGCTCTCCATGCCAAATATTTGGGGTTGAGTGTTGAAGAGGTTTCTGGTTCAAAGCGAGGTGGTGGAACCCTGGTTCCATCGACATAGCCCAGCATGTCTTGACTCTCAAGAAGAGGGAGAAGTTGGCTTTTCCAAAGAAGATAATTGGAGGAAGAAAGTTTGATGGTGATCATATGGATTAGAGTATTGAAAGGAAGAAGATGATAAGAAGATTCGGAAGCCATAGAGAAGAAAGGATCAGGGTTGTTAAACCGAAAGGGATTTCAAAAGCCATTGAAAAGAAAGAATCCGGGTTGCTAAACCAAAATGGCTCTGATACCATGTGAATGTTTGCTGAATCCACCACACCTCAATGGGGGTGAGAGTTCTCTTATTTATAATTATTTTCAGAATACAGAAATATGGTAAATTACAAATATTATGGAAATAGTAATAAAAGGAAAGAATAATAAATGAATGCAATATATTTGCCTTTAATAAGAGGGCAAATATGGTAACCCGTAATGTAAGGCAAATATCTAGATATTTGCCTTATAGTGACGGTCAACTATCCTTAACAGTATCGATGTTGTCACGGTTGCCTCCCAACCCTTGCCTCGAGAGTTCGAGTTTTTTTCTAAGTATGAGATTAAATTGTTACGTACCAAACGAGTCGAGAAAAAAAAGGGTATTGAAGAAGAAATGAGGTATAAATTGGAGGGAGGGCATTGGATTGTTATGAATGAAATAGAAAAGGAAATAAAGGGATATAGAATCCCAGAAATTCCTGGCTTTATTGTTTATGAGCAGAATCAGATCATTAATACCAATGGAAGGAGATTTCTTTTCTGCAATTTTTGTCTTAAATTTTAATAAATGTTTCTTCTAATACACTTTTATTTGAAAAACCCATTTAATTAACGTAGGATTTTATTGAAATTTCCAAGTATTTGGGAGATTTGTTCCATGTTCATCTTTTACAACTCAATTTTATGCTGGACTTCATTTTTGTTAATATTCTTGTGTTCATAAACATTTTTACACGGGTGGATGAATTGAATGAAAATTGAACAACATTTATTTAATTCTAGGTTTAGATGATAAAATTGAAAAATTATGATATAAATTGATATATTAGGTCAAATTTAGGATGTAAAAAATTTGAATAGAGATGTTAAGTAGAGGTGTTCAAAAATTTTGATAATTCGAAAAATTCGATCCATCTGATTCAACTTATATGGTTTGAGTTATTAGCCTATTTGAATCTTAGCTTATCATAGCATCATAATCATCATACACTGGTGCACAAAGAGTAGTATTAGCAAACAATTCATTCTCTTGGCCAGCAAAGCTATGACACAGTCTGGTGGTAATCACTCGTGTGCATCAAGGTATTCTCTGGCTCGTTAGTCCTCTCTTCTATGGCGTTATCTACATAGTCTCGACGGGGTGGTTGCCAGTGTCGTGCTCGTCGCAAGGTAACTCAACAGTCTTTTCTTCTTCTCCCTCGTTTTCCCTTTGTATCCTACCATTTTTCTTTACAGGTGGATTCTGTGGGTGCATCTGAAAGTCGTTGGCGTGTTCTTGGCATCGGGAAACGTGTAGGGTTAGGGTGCGAGAATTCTGGTGAGTGGTCAGAATTCTCGCCCCCTTGTATAGGTTACCCTCTGCTTCTGCTGCTTTGACCTATCGTTTTTTAACATGTTTCCTCTGAACAATGAAGGGACTGCTTGTAATGACCAATAAGAATAAGAACCATATAGGTCAAGGTTATGATAAATCCGTTTGTACCATGGCTGATGACTCTTCTTATTACCCTTCTTATTACAAAAAAAAAAATAGTCAATATGTTCGGTATGTAATGGTTGATTTGGACATCCAAGTTCAAACATGATCGAATAGTTACCTACATGCTTGTCATAAAAACATTTCAAAACCAACAAAAACTCGGAATTATAAAGTATACGAAAGTGATCTGAAATCTCAAACATGAAAATAAATGTCGAAATTAGTTTGAAGGAGGCTAAATTCAACCTACATTTTTTTTTATTATTTCTCTCTATAAACTTCATTAATATGAAGCAAAGCAGCTCCATCTCCAACTTGCCTAAATAGTAGCCATCACGAGAAACTACAATACTCACCACCCTACCACCGCTGTTTTCACGAACCCCAAAAACACTTTTCACAACTAAAAGTAATCTCCACTTCCGCCATTGTTGCATAAACATGAGACCTCCATTAATGCAATACGCCAGTAGGCACCCAGCTCAAACAACTTAAGGCCCATAAATAGAGCGCCTTTGGAAGAGGCTTTTTGTGGGTTCAAAAATTTAACACATAACAATGGAGAGATTTGAGCCATTGGCTATGATTGCAATGATTTTGACCATTTGTTTGTGTTTGAGTACTCCTAAGGCTTGCTCACAGGCGGATCAGGGCGGCGGTGTTCCTGGATTCTTCATTTTTGGTGATTCCTTGGTGGATAATGGCAACAACAATGGTTTACTTACCCTTGCAAGAGCCAATTATAGGCCCTATGGAGTTGATTTCCCACAGGGCACTACAGGCCGCTTCACTAATGGCCGGACATTCGTTGATGTCTTAGGTGAATCCTTATTCCCCTCAAATATTTAATGCTTTGGTTTGATTACTCAGCTAACAACAAATGCATGCAGCTCAGCTACTGGGGTTTCGGACATTCATTCCCCCATACACTAGAACTCGAGGTAGAGCCCTTCTAAGAGGAGCAAATTATGCATCGGGCGCTGCAGGAATTCGTGATGAGACTGGAAACAATTTGGTATATACTACATAAGTTTAGAAAATGGTATTTGTTTTGAATTGGAGGCTGATTCTTGGGTTGTTTTGATTTGAAAGGGTGCTCATGTATCTATGAACAACCAAGTGGAGAACTTTGGAAGAACGGTGGAAGAAATGAGTAGGTTTTTCAGAGGAGATACTGAGGCACTCGGTTGCTATCTAAGCAAATGCATTTTCTACTCGGGCATGGGGAGCAATGACTATCTTAACAATTACTTCATGACTGATTTTTACAACACCAAATCTCAATACACTCCTCAAGCCTATGCCTCTGCCCTTCTTGAGGACTACTCTCGCCAACTTAGAGTACGTGTGTTTCAATTAACTTTTTAAGTGATTTTTAGAGTATGAAACATATTCTACATTTGTCTCCAGGTTTTTAAAACGCGTCTTATAGGGAGAGTTTTCATACCCTTATAAAGAATTCTTTATTCTCCTCCTCAATCGACGTGGGATCTCACAATCCACCTCCGTTCATGGTCCAACGTCCTCACTGATACTTGTTCTCTTCTCCAATCAATGTGCGACTCCCCAGTCCACCCCAGCGGGTTCCACCTTGTGTCCACCCCCTTTGGGGCTAAGTCTCCTCGCTGGCACATAGCCGGGTGTTTGGTTCTGATACCATGATATTGTCATTTTTGGGTTTTTTCTTTCGGGATTCCCCTTAAGGTTTTTAAAACGCGTCTTTAAAGTATGTTTTGTTCTCCTCCCCAATTGATGTGGGACCTCACAATCCACCTCCTTTGGGGTCCAACATCCTTCCGGCACACCACCTCGTGTTCGCCTCCTTCAAGGCTAAGCATCCTCGACGGCACATCGCCCGCTGTTGGGTTTTGATACCATTAGTAACGACTCAAACCCATTGCATGTAGATATTGTCCTCTTTGGACTTTCCCTTTCGGGTTTTCTCTCAACATTTTTAAAACACGTTTTTTAAGAAGAGATTTCAACACTCTTATCAAAAATGTTATATTCTCCTCTCCAACCAATGTGGGTCTAACATAAACATTGTAAAATCGTAATTTAAGAATCACTTTGAAGTTTAATCTCTAAAATTTAATTCTAAAGTGATTAGTTTCTTCCCTAATTTCAAAGCCATTACATGACATGCCATGCCATGCCACGCCATGCAATTTTGATTACTTTTGTTGCAGCAATTGTACCAATTCGGAGCTCGAAAAGTGGTGGTGACAGGGGTGGGGATGATCGGCTGCATTCCTTATGAGCTTGCTAGATATCAAGGCAATAGTAGCCGCTGCAACGAAGAGATCAACAGCGCCATCAGTCTTTTCAACACCGGCCTTCGCAAACTCGTCGACCGTTTCAACAGCGGCCGTGTTCTTCCTGGTGCCAAGTTTGTGTACCTTGATACCTACAAAAGCAACATCGACTTGATTGACAATGCCTCCACATACGGTAACGAATCTAAACTATTTGACATACAAATGGAAAGTCTAAATATTTGACATGGATGCTTGATTTGGTGGCGTACGAATGAACAGGGTTCACAGTGGTAGACAAGGGATGTTGTGGAGTGGGCAAAAACAATGGACAAATTACATGTCTGCCACTGCAGCAACCATGTCAAGATCGACGAGGCTACTTGTTTTGGGACGCATTCCATCCCACTCAGGACGCCAACATTGTGTTGGCCAAGATGGCATTCAGCTCCCCTTCAAGAGCCTATGCATATCCCATCAACATTCAACAATTGGCAGCGTTGTAGGAGCTGGGTTTGTCGGTGAAGCTACGAACTATTTGTCGGATTGTCTCTTCCTTGTTGTTGCCTTACTTTGTAATGTGTCGTTCATCTCAAGTTTCTTGTGTCTTGTCTTCTCCGTGTTAGGCATCAATGGAATCCTTCCTTTTTGCCTTTTCAATTTGGAAGTATAATAAGATTGTGATTTTTATATATGTTTAACGCAATATTCTCTTTATATATGAGTTACTAGCACCATGTTATGAGCATGAACGACTGTGACCCATGACTCTAACGATGCATGTGTGACCAAACACAAAATTACAACTGATTGCACATGTACACGGTGGTGAGAGCTAATAGCGGTGTGTTGTAAGGGAAGTAGAAGCAAGATCAATCGCATTCACACACCCACAAACAGAAATTTAAGATTGTCATAGCCTTAACCTAGTTAACTAAGGAGGAAAAGCCCCATGTATGGAGCGAAGCTTGTGAGAGTAGCTTCCTAGAGCTCAAGGATTGATGAGTGACGTTGCTCGTGCTAATGGTGCCACTTTGTGGATCATAATGACACCTTGGGGAAGGGTCTAAGTTGTGTGCTGATGTAAAACGACAAACTGATTTTCTATGCCTCATAATAGTTGAAAGAGTACGAGTGCAGTTATCCGATCCACGACTTGAAGTTGGCATCAATTATTTTTTCTAAAGATATGGCAAAATTATCTATATGGGAATAGGATACAAATTTTCATCAACTATGGTAGCATGAAGTATCTATTCACCAAGGAGCTGAATGTGCATAAGAGAAGGTGATTAGAATTAGCGAAAGATTATGACAATGAGATCCTTTATCGTCCGAGGAAAGCAAATTTCGTAGTCGATGTCTTAAGTAGAAAGATAACTCATATACAACGTTAATCATGAGACAGATAAAGATACAAGCTGACTTAAAGCAAACTAGTATTAAGATCTTAGTTAGGTTAGCTAAGTTGAGGGTCTAGCTAACCTTGAAGCATCGATAATTATAGTTACTTAGAATAAAGATCCCTATTTAGATTGAGTTAGCACCTAGGTAGGATCCAACAGTTCTCCTACCAAGCAAAAAGTTAGGAATCTCTTAGATAGGACCTATGGGATGTGAGCATAGGACCAAATAAGTTGATGTTGTAGCTCAGCGACATACATTGTTGCTTCCTCCAAACTTTTGACCCTACGATGGTTTCTATGGAAGAGTCTCCAATTAACCTTTCACAGTGATGTTCAGAACGAGACACCAAATGACCCTATAACAAATGACGAGGTTGTGCCTCAACCTAGGATGTCGGTCATTCATTGTCAAGGTAAAGCAAACTACTGAGTCTATAGAAAGGTTGAACAATTTGTTCAAATCCTAAGGGCTAGGTATCAAATAAGATAATCACTGAAAACTTCGAGACCTTCCTAGATGCTCAGATAGCAATATAACTATTGTCCAAACTTCCTAGAGTCTAGAGAAAAGCATGTGGAACTTACTAAGATAAGTACCGATGAAAGTCTACAAGTTGCTTATAGAATATTTTTTATACTCCTTGCATTATGCATTTCTTTGTATTTTTTGAATTTATATCCCAACCTTTAGTTCTTATTTGTAATAGACCGAACATACCAATTTATTTTTAATTGTGGTATTGTTTATTTTTAAATTACTCAAAATTTTACCATATTTTTATATTGTTTTATCTTTTTTTGAGATGATCTGATTTACAAAACTTTGAAAATCGGGTCGTGGACGTATAGCATCCCATAATGTTCTACTAATTATCATATCCCATCACTTGGGCGACCTTAAAGAGGCCATTTGATTAGAGGTTTTGCTTAGAAGGTTTGAGAATAATATATTTAGGAATAGAATGTCTAATAATTATATCATAATTTCATATAAATAAATAATATTTTTATTTAATTCCCATAATAACTTCTAACAATTTATTAATTACTTTTAACATTCTATTAGTTTAGCTAGTTTCTTTTATTAAGTCAAGTTATTAAAATAATATTAATGAATGATTTAATTTTCATTTATTAATAAGTATATAATATACCTTAATTATATTCCAAAAATTAAATCTAATTCATTTATTTCACTTATTCCAACATATTTATAAAAAATAAAAAAAAACAGAAAAAAATAAGAATTAATAAATAAATAAAGAGTTAAAAGAAAAATAAAGAAGTAAAGAAATAAATAATAAAAAAGAACAAAAGAAAGATAGAATTAAAAAAACAATCACAAATCCATCGTTTGGATAGTTGGGAAAAGACCTTTTGACCAAAAGGTCAGCGCTTCCCGCCATATTCGGCTAAGAGAAAAATACGAAAAATAAATGTTGAGAGTGGGATTTGAACCCACGCCCTTTCGGACCAGAACCTTAATCTGGCGCCTTAGACCAACTCGGCCATCTCAACCTTGTTGTTACTCTGCCTTATATTAATTAATTAGACATATTTAATATGAGATTAATATCAATATTTTAATTTTATGGATATATTAATATCGTTGGACATGTATAATTGTACCAAAAAATAAATTTCGTCAATTAATTTTTTATTTAATTTCATTCATTAAAAAGTATATTTAAGAATTCAATTATGAGAGCCTTGGTGACGTGTCTTTGCTGACTGTGTATGAAGGAGTGATGTGGCTGAGACGACTTTTCTCCTCAATAAATCAAATCACAGTCATCATCCTAGTTGTTATTATTATTTTATTATTTTAAAAATATTTTGAAAAAGGCAAATCTCTTATCCTGTTTATTTGTTAATTTCTAAACCAAATCATCTGCTCGCTGCTTCAGATTCCCCGGCACAGAGCACACCTCCAACTACACTCACTCCAACATGTCCATTCTCAACGGAACCCTCCAAAAATCTCAGTGGGTTCTTCAAATCAACGACCTCATTGACCGAAATGCCCTCCCCGCCGCTTCTCGTACCCCCATTTCCGTCTTCCAGCTGCCGGAATCCGTCCGCGACGGCGACCCGGCGGCGTACCTCCCCCAGTTCATCGCGTTGGGGCCGTACCATCATTTCCGGCCAGAGCTTTACAAAATGGACTTGTTCAAACTTGGGAAAGCCAAGAATCTGAAATGGAGACCTCAACTTCATGAACTTGCAGATCAGCTTAAGCCATTGGAGCTCCAAATCCGAGGCTGTTTCTGTGGATCCCTTGAAATTGATGACGAAACCTTATCATGGGTTGTGCTCATTGATGGTTTGTTTTTAATTCATTTACTTCAAAATGAGTTCAGTAATCGTCCCCTTAAGCTCCCCTTAGAGATCTTTTATGGGAAATTATGGTCTGAGTTTGAGATTGTTAGTGATATGATGAAGCTTGAGAATCAGATTCCATTACTTGTTCTTAAAGAAATTTGCCCCGATGAACCCTTTAACTATTTGGCTCCTCTGTTTTACCAATTTTCTGCTTCTGTTTCCCCATTTGAGTTGGTATGTTTTGGATTTGCCTCCAATTTGCCTGAAATCTTCGATTCTTCCTACCATTTGCTACATTTTGTGTATTTTCTAATCTTGCTTATTCCTGATGAGATGGCTGTGGCAAATATCTGTGCTTATTCTATGCCAATTGGAATGGATTCTTCTTCTTCTTCTGTTGAGTTTTTAGGTGAGAGTTTGAACATTTTGGGGTCTGTTATTAACATAGCCTTCATTCAACAAGTGAAAGAGACATTTGGTTTAATTCAACGTTTGTTTAGACTATTAGGATCTATAACAAAGCCAAATTTGTGTGAGAAAAAGCTCCCTATGATAATCCCTTCTGCTTCCGACTTGAAAACTGCTGGAATCACATTCAAATCCACCAAAAATGGCGTTTTAAAGTGTCGTTTTGATGAGAAAACGCTCACTTTAACATTGCCTTCCATTCATCTTGATGGGTTCTCTGAAGTTCTGCTTAAAAACCTAGTGGCATTTGAAGCAATGGCAGAGCTGAATCCGCAGTGTTTGGTAAATTACATTGCCTTAATGAAAGGGCTATTGAGAAACTCCAAAGACTTGAAGATTTTGGTGAAAGCAGAGATTGTTGACAACCATTTGAGCAGTGAAGAACAGGCTGTGGAGGTGTTTAATGGGGTTGAGAATTCAACCAGCAGCTTGAAGAAAGAGGAGGTTTTGAATATCCATCTCAAAAGTGGTCTGGATTGTGAGATTGGAAGTGGGTTCATTCAAGATATCAAGATGAACTATGAAATGGGATTGGGGAGTATGGTTGAAGAGATCAATAAATGGTATGGGAGCTGCTGGAGGATGAAGATGAAGAAGTTCATGTCTGTTGTTTTCAAGTGTTTTGCAGTTCTTGTTGTTGTGTTTGTGATTGTTCTTGTGATTGCTCGATTTGTTTGCAATTTTGTTAGCTGCTCTGTCGGAATGTTTAAAACCAGTGATGCTCTGCATCAGATGTATTGAGGATAAGGTTGATTACATCTAGTCTAAAACGCTTATAGAATTTGTCCTTTTCGCACTTTTTCTTTTGAATTTTTCCTCAATGTTTTAAATTACATACCCTTATAAACAACGATTCGTTCTCCTCCTCGATCGATGTGGAATCTCACAAGCAACCTTCAAGACAAGGGCATGACGTGCCAAAGAAACCTATGTGTGTTGGCCCAAAAAACCTGTGAATGTGTGCTAGAATGTGTCCGAATGACCTCTATTTTGCACAAATGAAAAGTCGTTTTCATCGCTCACGGGTAATCATCCGGAGGTAAGTAGGTAGATCAAGTGGTTTGGATGTTTTGAAGCATTTAATAAGGATGGGTGTTCTTGTATGCTAGAGGATATTGTTGATCAGATATTGTCCTCTTTGGCTTTCCCCTTTCGGGCTTCCCCTCAAGGCTTTAAAACACGTATGCTAGAGGAAGGTTTCCACACCCTTATAAATGTTGATTTATTCTCCTCTCCAACCAATGTGGGACACCACAATCCACCCCCTTCGGGCCCAAAGTCCTCGTTGGCACTCTTTCCTTCCTCCAATCGATGTGGGACCGCCCCCAAATCCACTCTCTTTGGGGCCCAGCATCCTTATTGGCATACCGCCTCGTGTCTACCCCCTCCAGGGAACAGCGAGAAGGCTGGCCTTCCCCTCAAGGTTTTAAAACGCGTCTGCTAGGGGAAGGTTTTCACACCCTTATAAAGGGTGATTTGTTCTCCCCCAACCAATGTGGGACATCACATTATCCGACCAATAATACGATCATAATAACAACAAAGTTAAATATGATTTAGAGAATTGTTTTTATAAATTTTATAAGTGAAGGTTTATGGAGATACACTTAAAAGCAAGAATCGAGTAATGTGACCATGTTGTAGTAGTTGTCAAGTCACCAAGTTAAAAAATGATTTCCTTCCATCCTTTATTAATTTTTTAAACAACTTTGAAATTTTATTTCTAAACTCTCTCATTCACCTCTCTGTGCGATGTTTTGATCAAATCTGTATTACTTGTGACTGCTTCAGTCATAAAAATATTAGAAGGAATATGAAGCAAATCAAGAGGTTTAAATGGATTAAATCCATAAACAATTTCAAAAACAGAATAACGAATGATATTATGAATTGCCCAAAGTCTACCGATAACAAACCTTCGTCCCAAGACCTAATATTCTTAGAAATAATAGCCGTAAGCAATGCTTGTAATGTTCTATTAACCAGCTCAGTTTGCTCATTCTAGAGTGACTCAAAATTTAACATCCCTATCACTAACAATTATTCTAGAAATTTCACGTAATCTTACTACTTCCTTCAAGAATAAGTCAAGCAACATGCTTTGCATGGTCGATCTTGTTGCATGCAATAAAATGAGTCATTCTACTAAATTTGTTTGCCCACCCTTTTTAGTGTGCTGCAAACAAAGAACAACGTCCATACATATACTAGTCCAAGGTTTGTTAGATACACACGAGTATACAATCCATTTGGTTTTAAATTAGATTTAGCTTTTTTGCATTTAAAAGATTGGCTACAAAACTTATGAATATCGTGCTTCATCTTGGACCGAAAGAATTGTTTATGCATCATGTTATAAGTTTAAGTTATATTAATCCCAAAATGTCTCATTAAGACACCTCCATGTGGTTCTGTAACTTTCTTATAGAGCATTTTGGAATACAAATCTTACTTTTTTTTAAGCAAAAATTCACGAAACACATAACATGGCATCTTATTTTGCAAAATGGGTCTTTTGTGGATAATTCCCGTCTTTTGCGTTTGTCCAAAGTGTTGCGCCAAATAGGGGATAACATAACCCAACGCCAGAGGAAGGCATTTTGTATCAAGTTTTCTATTTGTTCCGTATACATCTACTTTGGCTCAAATGAGACCTGCACGTACAGTTTTTAGGGGGATCCGATTGAAAGACCGGTCGACGCCCACCCGACTAGTGGACTGAGAAATTAATGATTCAACCTAAATTCCTTTAGAGCCCACGAAAGATGAGCTAGGAGTAGGGGGCTCCAACCTTTCTGTCCCAACAGATCGCTCTTCGAAGTATAGCTCAGGAGGGCTCCAGCCTTTATTAAGAAATGTTATATTGGCTGGTCTTTTAGAGGGAAGATAGAAAGTCAATGCTTTTCCCCTCGAAGCCAAAATCTTTCTTTCTTCCCCGTAGCAAAGTTCTGACCTTCTTCTTTCATTGAAGAAAACAGTTCTTTTTGTCGATGATAGGAGGATGATATAATATCTTAATTCATTCTCTTATAATAGCAGTTCTTTACCAGGGGAGGCGGGGTAATCTGCACCAAGACCATGACCGCTGGACAACTGGATGCAGGAATCTTGCTCTATGTGCGCCTGTGGCAGGTCGAAGCCAAAAAGTTTGGGATTTGTGGCTGGGTCGGAATGTGGTTCTTCAATTTCAATTGACTAAAATTCAATTTCATTCTCTGACTTTTCAGGAATCTTTGGTTATAAGGGAGCGCTGAACACCGAAAGTGAAGTTGCTCCTACCTATAGGAGCTGTAATATTCCAGTAGTTGCGGCAAGGAATGACGTCCAGTAGTTGCTGCAAGGAATGACGTCATAGCTCCTGCAGAAGTAATAACAATCAAAGTCGTATATGGGTATTCAAGTAAAGGGGAGCACCTTGCTATCATGAAAACGCCAAAGACAAAGAAATGGGAGAAGTGGGCTTGATGATTGGAGAAAGGAAGGGGTGTGGTTGGTGTGTCACTAGGTCGGTGGGGAAACTCGTAGGAAGGGCGGGACGACCCTCCGATTTCACATAAGAAATCGCCAATGAAGCTATGAAGCATCTTAGAGTATTCCATTCTGTTTTTCAGCTAGATTCGAGCTTGGTTCAACCTGAAAAAACATCGAGTTTGCAGAAACCTACTTTCTTTTCTGACAAAATCAACCAAGCCTAACCGGTCACGCATGTTGATATTGATTGAGTTGGACTTCGTTGAATGAATCCATCCATAAACCTAGACCTTGCCAACCTTCGGAACACGTATAGGAACCACTAAAGATTGTAAAGATTGAAAAAGTGTGAAAAAGACTATTCTGGTCAAGAAAAGAAATGAAATGTTCCTAGAAATTTTGCAAAGAAGAATTCGTAGAGATTTTTCCAGAACCCCAATCTAGCGTGCAGAGTTGAGCATCTGATATTCGCTGGGATCAAGCTTTTCCTCTGCGGGGACCTTGTGCAGTAAACCTCCTACGAGCGGTCGTCTGTCGTCGTAAAGTAGTCCCCGCGAAGCTTTCAAGAGGAGGGGTAGTCTTGTGTGTAAGCATAGCATTTCTGGTTGGGGGAGCTCTCTCGATTCGCAAATTGGTCAAACTCGTAATTCACTTCGGATTCCGTGTTTGATAGCCTGACCGTAGTGATGTTAATTGTGGTTACATTCATAAGTAGCTTGGTCCTGATCTAGCCCAGTTTTTACATGAAACAATGGACATCCCCGCCTGAAAAACAAACACAAGGAAACCGCGGGAGTGGGGGATTGTCCTCCTCACTGACCCCGAGGTTAGGTGAATCAGTCACGATAGAGGAAATTTGTGGAATTGAGATTGGTATTCCAATTTTTCTTCTTCGAACGTATTGATTTGACCCCATAAGCAAGACCGCCACCCCATAGCATGTTGCCACCAGAAGTAGAACCTCACCAGCTGAAGGAAGGATCTTTGGCATAAAGATACGACCAATCCTGAAAGACCACTCTTTCAATCATCTCGTACATGCATTCTAATTTGAGATATCCATATTTCACAACAACTATAAATTGACATAGAACCATGCAATTCATCAACCATATTGTCTAGCCTAGGAATAGGATGTCGATAGTTTATAGTAATTTTGTTGATGGCTCTACAATCCACGCACATGCGCCAAGTTTCATCTTTCTTTGGCACTAATAAGACTCGTATAGAACATGGACTCAAACTTTCTCGTATATAGCCCTTCTCCAGGAGCTCCTCAACTTGCATTTGAATTTCTTTAGTCTTAGTTGAATTGACTCTGTATGCTTGTTTGAAATGACGGCCCTTCGAATCAAATCTATTTTATGTTTCATACCTCTTAAACTATTTTATGTTGATTATTAAGATTATGTTATGGTTTGTGAACGTTCATAGACTCGTAAAATTTAAATATTTTATTTTAGTTTTTGGATTTAAAAGGGTATATTTTAATTATTAATCTTTTCCATAATTCTAAAATATTAAACGCCATTATAAATATAGTTTTGGGTGTTAAATCAAGTTAGCAGCCGTTGCCGCTGCATTAAAGTCCCTCAAATCTCCATTAGAAAAAAATAAAAATAAAAAACCGGCTAAAATTCCGCCATTTTCGACCCTTCCCAATTTCCTTCTCAAGAAATTCCGACCAAATCATCCTCCTCGAGAAAGCTGCAGAGATCGGCGAAGGGATGTCTCGATCTCGAAGCTCCATATCTCTGCAAGTCCTCTCTTTCCTTCTCTCCCTCTCTCTCCATTCTCTTTCAGGTACAAATCCACCTTTTCGATTTTCAAATTCTAAATTCGGTTTTATGTTCTTTGTAACTCTGGTAGCTAGACCGAGTTGAATTTATTAAAGAATTGTAGCTATGATGATTGTTTGTTGCTTTTCTGCTGAAATTATTGTCGCATTGTTTTTTATTGTAGATTTTAGGGTAACGTTGTTCTGTTCCGTAATGGTTTGGGGAATTACCGTTCTTAGGATTCATGGCATTTGAATTGTAATAAGCAAAATGAATGGGTGGAATAGATGATTCGATATTTTGATTGCAATTTCTTGGAAAATTACTACAATTTCACGAATTCCCTGTTTACCTTTTTCCTCCCTTTTTGCCGCTTGCTGTATATTTGTGTTTCTTGAGGAGGCATTTGAAATTGTGATGATTTAATTTCTTACGTTTTTGACTTGTGTGAAAATGAAAAACAAGATGAATGTAATTGAATTTGAATGTGTCTTATAATTTAGACCGCGAGTTGTAGTTGGATGGACAAATGATTGTTTGGTTATGGTTTTGGTTTTGTTC